GCTATAAAATAGATAAATACTACAAATACGAATTTATTTCACTGTTGCCGTTTAGAGGTAGTATCAGTACTAGATGCTCAACCATTTTATTGTTATCATTTGAAAGTTTAATTGTTAGCACATAAGTCTAAATGATGTAAAACGTACATATAATGAATAAATAAATATATTATGTAAATATATTTTGTTATATATTTTTTTCTTTTTAAAATTTAATTTAAACGTTATTTCTAAGCAATTATTTTAAGACAATTCTAAAATCATAACGTCATACTAATGTCTACCGATGACGTCATACTAATGTCATCTAATGACGTAATATTATTGTCATCTGATGACGTCATACTGTTATCATCTGATGACGTCATACTGTTGTCATCCGATGACGTCATTTATGCTGTGACAAATGGCCGTCAGTATAGGTCATTTGTACATCATACTGACCGTCAGTTTGACGTAAATCCTGACGAAAACGTACGTAAAAAAGACGTCTCATTGACGACGTTGTGTGACGACCTGGGAAAATTTTAAAAACTATGAAAAAGAAAATAAAAATAAGTACAGTCATATTTATAACTCATTGTATAAACAAAATATTAGACTAATATAGTATAATTGATGTAAATATATTACTATTATAAATTCTACATTTTACATGATTTAGAAAATATAACATTATATGATTCATCAGTATTATTGTTACAAAATTAAATAAGTTATTTTCTATTTTAGAGTCATTGTCCGATGCATATTTATTACTTATAACCTATCCATTTCCTTGGAACATAGCCTTTAACTAATTGAAACACTTCCAATATATCTCAGCTTGCTATGGTTGCTTCTAATCATCTCCATGTATTTTATCAGCATAGCTCATAAATATTTCAATATACGAAACATCAGTAACATCCAGATTAAATTGAATGCAGTATGCTGCTGTACATGTTTCCTTAATGCTGTGTCACGAAAAATTATTGACTGACATGTGTTGCATTGTCGATCAAATTTATGCATTAAAACACAAGCTCCTAGAGATCAGTGTTTACCTTTGTCGACAGTAAATAGTAAAATATATGAGGTTCGGTCATCCTTGTTTATGTACTTTACATACATTATAGCTTTTTATTAATAGAAACTTATTATGAAAAATAAAAATATATACTATATTATATATACAATTTTTAAATTATTTTATACGTTAACAAAAATGCACCTATGTATGTGTATACTCATAATACAAGATATGTCATCACCAATTAACCTTAAAACATAATCTTAACTACCCAAACTGTAAACACTGCAAAAAATTATGCACCTTATGAATGTTTCAATTGCTTTCACTTTCGTCTTGCATTAGCTGATTTCGTCTATTATATAAAACGACACTCTAACTAAAGTAAAACTATATACATTAATAAATCAGAACAAATAACACACGCACAAAATATGACAATAACTAAAAATTCAACCGCACATATACTTTATTTCTTCCCTAAAAGATACTTATTTAACTAAAATTTCACATAACGTGATATCCTATGAGTTTATCTTTACGCAAAATAATTAGGCATTAAATTATGAAATAATTTTATATTCTAGTTATTGTAGCGCATGACAAGCGATAGACCGCACGCTTCGAGCGGCAAGCAAGGAGAGGGAGAGGCGCGACGTATGATACCGCACCGCAAAATATTATCACATTGATTTTTCAACGATAGGAAAATAGCGCGAAAATGATGTCGTGTGTTACGTATAAGACATTCTGCATATGTACAACATTGTACATTTACAAACTCCATTCAAGATTTATTAAAAAGAGAACGACGAATACAGTCATCCACGATTTATGTATATCTAAATTGTTTATAAACAGCGTGTAGCCCTTTATTATTTGCAAACTTGCCGACGAATTCATTTCAACTTTAAAAAACATGTGGTTTAACATTATTACTTAATTCAACATGAGATTTATT